CTCACGGAGAAAGAAAAAACCGAAAAGGTAATTTGAGACCACCTCTGGAGGTGGTCTCAAAAAGGGTCCTCCCGCGGCCACGCAGGCGGCTGACATAAGAAAGGGTCACCAAAAAGTACGTTTGGGTAGCGGGCCTCTCCAATGTGACCTGAAAACTGCCTCACATTTTGGGATTCAAGGACATCAGGTCCCCCCGTGTTAGTATGCCGTCAGTGCCTTTACCCTTCACGGATACATTTTCCTGTTCTTAGTTTGCTGACTCCCTACATTGTCCCTTTTTGTCCTTTTTCCCTTTTTATCCTTTGTTTGTTTGTTTGTTTTGTTTTGTTTTGTTTTGTTTTGTTTGTTTGTTTTTGTTTGTATGTAGTTGGACTATTTCTTGATTTGCGTGCAGCATTCTTGTGCAGGCAAATGATGATACTGAGTCCTTGTGCAGTGAAATGATGATGCGCCCTTGCAAATTTGTGTTGTTTTGTGGCCAGTCTTTGCCATATCATTTTGATCTGATTGCTCCTTTGTTCTGAGTCAATTCACAAAAATCAGACGTAAGCGAGTGACCAATTCACCCTTTTTTTTCACCCTAAAAGTGCTGGCATGCAATTTGCCCTAAAGGGTGGCACACTGGCACCCTAAAAAAGAAAGAGCGTGTCACCGCCTTGAAAAAGTATAGTGGGGAACATGCGCATTTCACACACCATTTGTGTTATCCGATCTGCTGATTGTTGCTGTTGTCATGGTAGATCCTGGATACGCTGGATACTGTTCTCGATGTGGGTGGAGTCTATGACCCAGAGAGGGACAGATATGACCACCATCAAGGAGGCTTTCACGAGAACTTCGGCCATGGTTTCACTACCAAACTCAGCAGCGCTGGGCTCGTGTACAAGGTATGGGATGATGCGACGCCATAAATGCCGCTGGACTTATCAAGTGATTCGCATCGTGTGTTATTGCAATTTGCGCAATTTGTGCTGATATTTGCGTTGGGTTGTCGGTAAACTTGAAGCGAATATGTCGTAGCCATTGTTTATGTTTTTGGAGGGAATGCTATTGTGGAACAGCTCCCTCCTCATCAAGCACCAACTGAACCCAGCTCACCTGTTCAACCTGCTGACTAATATCTGGTCAGTTCTTGCTGAGGGTTTGCGCCCTTGCAAGTCGGTCGAAGAATCAGTTGCCCTGCCCAGCCACCCCGGCCCAGTGCCAGCCAAAATCGGCCCCATGATGGTTTGTAATTTCAGGGCCAAGCAAAATTCCGCATTGGAAAAAGGGGGCTCAGATGTAGCGGTGGTCAAAGCGAAAGGGTTCAGTTCATAAGTTGAGGCAAAACAGGGTTAAGTTCGTAAATTGGGCAAAATAGGGTTAAGTTGGTAAGCTGGGGCTAAAGAGAGGGTTTAAGTTTAGTTAACAGGGTTATGTTGGCAAGCTGGGGCAAAACAGTGTTATGTTGGCCAGCTGGGGAAAAACAGGGTTGAGTTGTTTCAGCCACTTTGTGTCATGTCTATGCCCTGTCTTCTTACGTCAACAGAACAGGGTTAAGTGGTTCAGTTAGGGCGAAACAGGGTTAAGTTGGTTGAAGGAGCAGCTCGAGCCCCGGCCACCGAGAGTATAGGCCGTATACCCCAATGCAACACTTTTGATGTACAGGCCTGGCGGGGAATGGTGCGATTTGTTCGGGCGTCAAAAGACTTAGGCTTGCCAATTGATGGTCCACCTTACTGGTGGTTTTAATCCACGTGAAGTCGCTTTGTTCGGCGTTACGAGGTTCGCCAAAAATGAGCCTTGTGTTTGCGCAGGGTAAAAACGAGCTTTGTTCGGCCTTACGAGGTTAAGTTGGTTTGGTTAACCTACTTTGTTTTCCTCTTGCCGGAATTCTATGTCCAACAGAAGTTGAGCTGGATTGTGAGGTCCATTTAGAAATAGGAAATTATAGTAAACTTCAATATACCACTTTGAAAAAGAAAATTTATAAGACGCAAAAGTAGTTGGAATCTAGGAAGATTGGCACTCCCGGCCGGGCACCCGGGCATGATGCTCGGGGGAGTCTGAGGCGCAGGGTACCCGGGCGTGCCCCCCAAAAAAAAGCACTCTCCCAGAGGACCCCAAATCCGGTCTCTTTTCTTTTTTTGAGAGTTGGCTGTCTAGGGGGGCAACGGGGGCTGCTCGGAACCCTGCCCAGGGGTCATGCCCGGCCGGGCACCCGGGCGTGTATCCGGGCACAAGTTTGGTGCCTGGGCGCCCGGGAAAACATCCCAGGTTTGAATAGTTCAGTTGCATTCAGTTCTTACTGGGTGGTGTAGAGAGGTGAGCAACGATGTTCAGCAGCGGCTATGGCTGACCTGACATATGAGGAGCTAAAGCACTTACACAAAGGAGGAAGAAAGAATTTTCAAACTCTCAGAGTTCAAAATAAAATAAAATAAAATAAAATAAAACGTAAATACTAAATAATTAAATTAAAGTTATTAAATAAAATAAAATAAAACGTAATAAAAAAAAGGTGGATGGATGACAGTGTTTTATTTCAATTCCCTTTTATGGACCTCTGCTTCTGAAAAGCGATACTCAAGTGGGTCGAGTTTATGTAATCAACTGATCCTTCGAGGCGATTCACTTTTTATCATGTACAGCATTTTGGCAGGGAGATTGTGGGAAAGGAGCTCAAGTCGTTAACGCCAGAAGAACAGGAGGTTGTGTATGTGACTGTCTACAAACATTTTATGGAGGTAACGCCAGAAGGAGTTGATGATTTCCATGGAATCAGTAGAATCACCCATGATACCCATTTTATTGTTATTAAGGAGCTAATAATAGAGGTAGTTCACCACAAAGTCGACACTACTTCCACTATCATATATCCTTCTTTTAGGGGGGGGAAGGCGAGAGGATCTGGGACGCCCAGGCTGGAATCCAGCTATTTGCCTGGCTAAGCACCTCCTCCCCAGGTCACCCTGTGCAGCTCATAAGACACGAGTTCTTTTTGTTTGTTTCGCTTTCTGGACCGCTGGTAGGGGGATTAGAACACCCACCAAGTTCGCAGCCTGAATGCTGTCTCTTTTTTTGTTTTCCAGTGTTTTGGGTTGGGGGGTGGGGAAGAGGGATATAAATAAGGGTGCTGGCTCTCTCTCTTCTTGTTTTCCAGTGTTTTGTGTTGGGGGAACAGGGGAGAGTGGTATAAATAGGGTTTAAAGCGGCGTACTGTGTACAGTGTGTAGTATGTACCTTTTTTTTTTTTTTTTTTTTTTTTTTTGAACTCATCGTTTGTCCTTGATTAAGCTTCCTGAAAACAAATTAAGCTGTCACCAATTCGTCTGATCCTTCTTCTTTTTTCTTTTCTTTTCTTTTCTTTAACTACCTCTGAGCCTATTTTGTGGAACTAAGTTTTTCTTTCTTTTGGGCACTGCTGCCCTGTGCTGTGCACATGAACTTGAGTTAATTAAGGGGTAACGGGTGGGGTTGCTGAAGGTATCTTCGGCAACCAACCAGCTGTGACCTAGCAGGGTTTGTCAAGAGGCTCAGCAGTAGTAATAGTGTACGCTTAAGAGTTTAAACCGCCAGTACACGGCCCCAGGCTTTCTGAAAAAGAAACATGTCACACATGAAAATGTCGGAGGCTCGGTCTACCGGACCACAATGGCTGGTGGAGCCAGCTAGAAAAGAAAAAACAATTGCGCTGCGGGAGGTTCGGTCAAGCTTTGTGCGCAGTAAGGCCCCTGCAGGCTCGGGTGTACCGGTGGTTTAAGAGATGATCACCCCAAAAATACGAAATAAAATAGACACAAATCCCTTGCTTTGTCCGCCTGGCAGGTGCAAAAGTAGGGATATTGGTACCTGGGCGTCTTCTGCTTCGCTGGGAACTTCTGCTGGGCTGTAGTAGGTTTGTTTGGTGAGTAGGGGGTGCTTAGAAGGGGTTGGCGGTGAGACTGTGGTGCTGATTTGCTCCCTTTACGGTTTTCGCTCAAGCCAGCACCACCTCCTTCCTTTGAGCCTGGCCGGTGATGACTCACTCGCTGGACGAGCTGTGCAACAATTGTGAGGGACGCCAGGCCCGTTTCCTGCCTGGCTTTATAATAATGAAGGGGAAGGGGATTGAAAAAAAAAAATCGTATTTAAGAAAAAAAAGAAGCTGCAGCATAGGAACAATATGTGACGGGACGATAGCCTGTAGGTTTTGAAAAAAGAAAAGAAAAGTCGAAGATACTGTGCCCAGTCAATAGCACTGTGGAGGCATTCATAGAGCATGCAAAGATGGGGAGAGAATAGGACATTCTTTCTTTTCCAAAAGAAAAAGTTCTAGCATCTGTGTGAATTCGTGGCGCACTGCGAACAGTGAATTCAATGAATTTAATTTATTTAATAGAATAGCTTTTTTTTGGGGTAATTAAAAAAAAAGGTTTTTATTAATTTACTAGAATTGCCTTTTTTTGGGGGGAATAAAAAAGGGGCTTTGCAGTCGCTTTGCTTGATAATCCGTTGATTTTTGCTTTATATTTTTTTTCTTTTCTTCTTTTTGGGCTACCAATGGGGCGCCCAGGCCCAGATTGGCTCCCTAGGGCAGTCTCACCAGGCAAGGACCAGACAATGTCCCTGCAAAACAAAAGACAAAAAATTGAAAAAAAAAAAGTCTGTTATGCAGATGCATTGCAGAATAATAAACGGGGCTAAAGTGGTTTAAAGGGGGGTGCCTTAGTGTGATTTGGTTATTTTCTTTTTTATCTTCAGTTCCGTGAGGAATTCTGATGTGACCCTCAGCCAAAAGTTGTTTGTATTGCAATTCTAGTATTCTACACAACTTTTTCTTTTTCTCTTTTTTTTTTTTGCGCTGGGGCTGTCCGGGGGTCGTGCCCAGCCGGTCACCCGGTCGTCGAACCGGGCGTGACGTTGGGACCCGGGCGCCCGGGATATCATCCTAGCATTTTTGGAAATTTCTTTGTTTGAATTTTTTTTTGCAAGTTTTTGCTCAACCACATCGAGCATTTTAGGCAAAGGTGTTAGGTTCTACAACCAGCACCACAGTTTTTCCATCACTAGATCCAACAATTCAGAATATAGATTCAGTAGATGCTCTTGTTTGTTTTTTTTTCTGTTCTTTTTTTTTTTTTTTAATGAGGCTTACATTTATGTTTTTTAAAATTTTTGTTGTGTGCCTTTTGGCAGGCTATTGACGCCAATGATAACGGTATAAGTCAGTATGACACGCAACTTCAGCCAAGGTACATTGAGAGCACCAGTCTTCCAGCAAGAGTGTCGAGACTCAACCCAGACTGGACGGAGGAAAATACTGAAGCGAGGGAGAACGAGGGATTTGCGCGAGCAATGCAGTTAACAGGCCAGGAGTTCCTTGAGGTAATGCCAGCATCGGGTCTTTCAAGCGCTAAAAACGTATTGTGCCTTTCACGTGCGAACTCAAAACTCCAAAATGTTCCATTCCATGATTTTCGAATGAACACTGCTACCTCCAATTGATAAGGCATGCAAGTGGCATTCAGGAGGTCGTGGGTTCAATCCCCATTGGCCTCGTGTACCTTCCTGGGCATGCTTGGCACCTGCCACCTAGAGATAGACCACTGGATCCCCCATCGGCATCGAGCAGAACGGAAAAAGTTAAAAAAACACCGCCGTGGCAGTTGGCCTTCCCTAGGTGCACAGGGGGAATTCGCCTCGCCTTGGTAAAAAGAGGCTTTGGAGGCGCTGGTGATTTAAACCATTCGTACTTTTGACCTTTCCCTTGCCAAGCCTTGAAACGTACTGAACGCCAAAAACAAACGAATCGGCGCGGTGTAACACTTTTTCCAGTCAGGCCACTTCTGACGACCAGAAAGACAACAGGCTGTCATGCAGGATTTTAAGTGATTTTTGCAATAAACGAATAATAAACAATGCAAATCGCTTCCTGCTGTGTGCATCCGGCATCAAGTGAGACGCTTCAATTGCGATCTACGCTGGTCCCCAGTCTAAGGAATCTTTGATTATGATTCGGAACAGCAAATGCGATTATGCAAATAATGAATTAAAATAAAATGTATAACACATCATGATTGCCAGACTTAGGAATCCGAGAACTGTGACATTATCAGTGGAAGTCATAACATCAAGAAATGTCAATGAATCAAAGCAAAGACAAGATGAATGAGGGAATGTGAGAACTCATAATAATCTCAGGAAAATACAGATGAAAAGACATGGCCAGCACTCCTCAAGAGTCCTCACTCATCCCTCTCAAGTCTCATCCTCAATCTCTCTTTTGATCGTGCATCTCGAGCGCCTTGAGCCACGTCTGCCTAGCGACAAAGAGACACCTAAAGCGCATAAGTTCCGAATATGTGCACCCAATGCCGAAGATTTGGAAACCAAGCATAGCACATAACTCCTCCCATAAGGTAGGAAGATAAGGCCTGGAGAAGATCCCTCTTTGGAGATGGACAAACCCAGAAGTCTCCGTTATTGCCTCAAATCTACCTCTTGGCCAGGTCAACCAAATCACCCCAGTAAGAACCATCGATGAGTTTGGGATATCTTTGAGTCTAAATTCAGCTATAATGACCGTACGTTTTATTCAGGGGATGACTGTAGGATAGTCATCATATAGCATAGGGCCAAAGCTTTTTTTTTTTTTTTTTTTTGAAACACACCCCGACCAGTGTTAGTGGTACTGAGCAGACACCACTAGCACCTGGGGATAGGCTCCATCTATTGGTGGGGAGCATCACCTGCTGGGAAACGGGCCCAGCGTCCCATATACAGACTGAAATTGGAATATGTCAGAAAAGTCCTTTGTGAGAGACTTGAAGCAGGGAAGGGGGGGACCTCTCCACCTTGGAACCGGCGCCAGAAACCTATTGCTACACCCTAGTTCCTCCCTCCCCCCAAGAGCCCCTGTCCCTTTTGTTGCTGGAAACCGGGTCCAGCGTCCCTTGAGTACGTCATTTTTACAGAGAAAAAAGAGTAAAAAAGAGCTGAGAAAGCGCCTGCCAGCCGTGACTACTCTGGATTTCGGAGGGATAACAGTGCAGGACTTGAAAAAGTAGTAGGAAGCTATGAATCAGCTTTGTTTGAAAAAAAACTAAAAAAAGCTATGACTCAGCTTTGTATCCCTCTGAAGTTCATGCACTCTCTCCTCTTTGTCTGAAACCAACAACACTGACATACTGGTAGTGGAAGGCATCCTTGGAAGCAATCCTGTTGAGATCGGTTAAGACTGAGTGAACAACAGGAAACGAAGTAATAGTACTCATGTGCGGAGAAGAGTACTACAACTCATCAGATTGATGAGGAACTCAGATCTCTGATGAAAACCTTGATTGACTGATAGTGATCTGAGAGATGATTGATAATGACTGGATGACAATAGGTTCCTAACTGAAGATCATTGATGATGCCTTAGATGATTGAGAGCAGTCAACAGGCCATTGATTGCTGACCACTGACAGCAGGATGCTGATAAACTTTTGGATCAGGGGCCCGACGGTTGCTGAGGCGCCCGCAGGCCGCGTGCCCATGAGACACGCGCTCTGGAGGCCCACGGCGGCCCTTAGGCCACAGGTACGGATTTGCGACAGCATTTATTTATTTATGTATTTGTTAGCTGTCCTATTTTTGTCTGTTCAGACATTGTTTCGGACTTGCAGTCCCCAAGGCCGTGCCTTGGGCCAGGGACACCAGGAGGCAGGGCCTTTGGGCCAGGTGCGGGGTCTGGATGTCCGGTCGGGACCCAGACTCGAGAGGCCCACGTTTTTGGGCAGGGCCAGAGGCACACGGAGGCAAACCGGCCGGCCCAGTGCTGTATATGGCTGGGCCACTGCCAGGGCATACACACGGTTCGAGTAGCTCACTTCTTGGGCGACACGCTGCTGGACTGGCGCTGCAACACTACCAGTGCTGCACTAGGAGGTAGAGGTAGAGGCGTAGGTAGGCAGAGAGGCAGAGCACATACCTGCAGCGATGGACTTAGCTGGCACCATAGCTGGGACTGCGCACAGCAACCTGCACATGACGATGACGATGACGGTCAGTCCAGCGGCGGTTCCCTGCATGTGAGACCGAGAGGAGGACAACATCTTCTTCTTCCTCGTCGCCATCTCTCCTCCCTCCTTCCTTCTTCTTGTTCTTGTTCTTCTTGTTCTTGTTCTTCTTCTTCAGAGAGAGAGGGAGAGAGATTTCAGGCAGAGGTTGCATCGGGCATTGCGCCGAAGATCTGATCTGATATTTTGTGGCAGAAATTGATTGGGCATTCGGCAATGGACTATTTTTGGACTTCGCTATCACGATCTTGGTTTCTCCCTCGCCTCCATCTTCATCTCGCCTCCTCCCCCATCTCTCATCCGTGGTGTCTCCCCCATGTGCGTGTGCAGGGAGGGACCTTTCTTCTGTGTATGCGGTCCCTCCTCCCTCTCTCACGTGTGGTGTATGATGGGATGTCACATCAGTCTCAGATAGGTCAGGTCATCTCTTTGAGTCTTCCGTTGCGCTACAATGTGCTATTTTGTATGTATCGGGATGTACATTGCTTGTTGATGCTTCGCTGACATTGCATTGTCCATTCTAGTCCTTTTCATCACTCTGCGGATCCTTGGCTCCATATACATTGCCCGACTGGGCATGTATCACAGAGAGAGAGAGAGAGAGAGAGAGAGAGAGAGAGAGAGAGAGAGAGAGAGAGAGAGAGAGAGGAAAAACAGAGTCGAATGGTCTGGTATACAACATCCTCTCTCCCTATGCTCCACGAGCTGTTCCAGGCTGACGACGAAGTCCATCCTGAAGCCTGCGTTCAAAATCCCTCGTAGAACCTTTGTAGGCCAGCGTCAAGCTCGAGACCAGTTCAGAACACATGCATTATCCTTCATCGGCATGAGGAAATTACTACCTTGTGTCCTGATATAACCTGTGCGGTCGATCCTGCCATTGAGTAAATCAGTACATCCGGGGTAGGAAAATTAGCCAAATTACCAAGGTGCTGCTGCACATGCAGCAAGCTACCGTTTATTGCATGGAAACCTGCGGACCCGGAACCGGACATGTCTGGACCGAGGCCCAAACATTTGTCTGGACTGGTCCAGACGTCCGGTAGTCCGGACAGGCACAGGACAACCGAACAGGACCGGACCCGGACCGTCTGGACCACTCCACCAGACAATATATGTCCGGACCTGAAAAAAAAAAGAGTAATAAACAGGGCTAAACTTAGTACATTAGACAGTACTAAACACAAATGAAGTCAGTTCAAATATAGACGATGAATGGCAGTTGTGAGCAACGGGACGAAACTTAGGACTTACTGTCTTTCAGTATTCAGAACTTGACAGCTTCATACTGTCACAAACATTCACAAAGGCGCATACAACACTTGAAAGTTGAAACCAGTTCTCAACAGACCAATCCCCCAGAAACTTCAAAAAAGAGTACGAAAATCAGAAAGAAACAGAACTTTGAACTTTGAAGTTGGACTTTCTAGTAAGTTTCTAGTTCATACTCGTATGAAATTGAAAATTTAAACTGTTAAGTTATTCAGATCTGCGTAAGAACAGATCTGAGATCTGGACAGGACCAGATCAAATACAGATCTCAGATCTGACCAAAATCATCTCTCTCTCTCTCTCTCTCTCTCTCTCTCTCTCTCTCTCTCTCTCTCTCTCTCTCTCTCTCTCTCTCTCT